TATATATCTTAATTATAATATAATAAAACAGAATAAAAACTGTTTTATCTTAAAAAAGAAATTTTCTTAATTCAATTCTTAAGATTACATCAAGCTTACCATACTTACTTCAAGATCAGTAAATGTCTTTAAACAACTCGGACACTTAAAGCTAGCTCTACTAGTTGCATCTCTCTCCTCAGTTTCCATTCTCTTTCTCATTAAATCGAGTTTATACTTCACCACATTTACAAATGTCTAAAACAAAGACACACTTTTCATTCATTCTTTCATTTGCTAGTATTTTCCATCAAGTTAAAGAGAATCGTAATCACTTTATAAGTTAAGAGAATCGTTACCTACTTTATAATTAATAAAATAATAATTAACTTTCTGTGCTTTGCCATCTGACCCTGTCTCCATCTTCAATCTCACTTGAATGAACTTATCATTTCGCAATGTGGATATCCTGGCTCTTAACATCTTGCGTTCAAACTTAAGCAATTCACAAATGTCATCTTCTTTCATACCTGGTAGTATTTTATTATAAAATATTATTCCAATTACATGAAATATTTTCTAAATCAGTATATAATTACTTACATGGATTTCTAACCAGCATATCTACAATTAAAGCATCTTCAATCGAGTAAAACCCACGTACAACAAGACGTGCCAGTTTCTTCAAACTACTAGGTACCTCAGTGACAAGTCTCTCCTCGACGCTCATATTTCAGGTAATGAAAATGATTTTCTAACAATCGATATCGTTACCGAATAACAATAATTTTACCAATAATAATTATAATCGTTATTATTATGTTTACTGTCCGTTCACAGACTAAGCTCACAGTTTCATGTCAAGCGCACTTTACGATAAGCACCGCATTCTCCAAAAATACGATCGCTTGTAAAATTGTAAGCGTATCTTCATTTTTCTTCTAGAAATCAGATCTACTTTGTTAAAAAAAAAATATTTTATAAAATATCGACAAATGGAAAAGACAAAAACTTCATGAATACAAATATTACACCGAATTCTTACAATGATCAGAATGATCTATTTTTCTCCTTCTTCTCTCGTTATATCTTGAGTTAAAACGGCACTCTACGTTTCAGGAATGTTGGAAAAATCACAAGAATACAATAGGTCTGTTTTTTATTGCTACACTTTTTGAACTGGTACACACAGTGCAATAAGTTGAATGAAACAAATGTATATTTGTTTCACTTCAACTTATTGCACTGGTTCAGAGTGTAGCAATAAAAATAGACCTAATATTATCCGTTGATACGCAGTGAATTTATGTCACGACTGTCTTAGAGTGTCTTTAGGTTAGAATCAGGAAAATCCCGCAATCGCGGTATTACACCATTTGCGCCGCATGATGCACCACGGCGGAATACGTGCGATTCCGAGAACGCGTCTGCCAGCATCTAGTCGCGCGACTGCGCATGCGTAGACTTTGCTCCTCGAATAAATCCCTAGGAAAATTAAATTTATTCACAAATTGATCTTTGGTAGCATTGTAATGTTCATTTTATTAATATAAATTTATTTTAAAAAAATAGAATATTCTCTCTATCTTCCCTACTTGAAAGAAAATATTGACAAGGAAAATAAAAAAATACCTTCGTTCGAGCGAAGTCTCTGATAGAGAACTCTGAAGTATTTTGAAAATTATTTTGGAAATCAGAGAAATTAAGTTGTGCTTCTGCTTCCCGAAGAGGCAAAAACTAGATCAAATAACACATGTGGCTTATAAAAGGTTAGAGATCCATACAGAGGTTTGAAAAAAGAAGAAGAAGAAAATAAAAAGATGATATTTCCTTATATCTCCATTAATCTTTTCCATCGGAGGACACGCGCATGCGTGTTGCATGGAAAACTGCGTGGCAGTGGAACTACTGTCAACAACAGTAGTCTGCTAGATGGCTGCGATCTGTCAAACTGTCAAATGTCAATAAATTTTCACGAATAATTCACATATAAAAAATTTTAATAAGATTTGTCAATGGCGGCGATCGATAAAGTTAAAATTATCGTAGTAGGTGACTCAGGTGAACATAAGAAAAATATTTAATATTTTAAACATGCAATAATCCTTTTTTCTGAATTATTATCGATATTCTGTAATATTTTATTTGAATGAAGTCAAATGAAACTTGGGATAAATATTATGATAAAGATATTTCTTGCTTATATATTGTTAATATTTTTATTAATATCAAAGATATTTCTAATGTTTACACATTTAGGTTATGTATAATTATGTGACAATATAACTGTTTTTATAACTAAATTGATAAGTACTCTTTGTATTTAAAAAGAAATTATTAGTCCTTTCTTTTTAACTGAACTTCTTGCATAATTCATCTTTCCTTTTTTTTTTCTTTTTGAATAAAGAAAAGAAAGAAAAACAAAATGTGCAAGAGGTTAAAAAGAGTAGGTTTAATTAAATGTTTTTATATATTTGACAAAAGTGAGAAAGAAAATTTTAGAGCAGTGCAGTGATAAAAAACAAATCTAATATGTACAGATTAGTGAACTGTTGTAAGAGGAATTACTTTTATGAGAAATGTATCTTAAATAATAACGATAAATATAATAATGATAAATATCTTTATTATTGCAGGAGTCGGCAAAACATCACTGACACACTTAATATGCCAACAGCAACCTATCGGCAATCCTGCTTGGACAATAGGTTGTTCCATAGAAGTCAAATTACACGAATACAAGGAAGGTACACCAAATCAAAGAAGATACTTTGTCGAGCTATGGGATGTCGGTGGCAGCCAAAGTCACAAAAACACAAGATCTGTATTTTACAATCCCACAAATGGTATACTCATATTTTATAATGGTTAAATGTACAACATCTATATTTCCTTGAAAACATACGAATGCATAATTGCGACAGAATATAACTGTTGAATGATTGTTGAATTAACGACAAATATATGTCGTTTACAACTAGGCATAATATTAGTCCACGATTTAACGAATCGTAAATCACAGCAGAATCTGCAAAAATGGCTGGAGGAGGTTTTAAGTAAAGATGGGACTTCCTCAAAATCCAAGTTCGAGGATTTTGATCCTGAGAAGTTTGTGGGATCGACGCAGGTGGCAATAATTTTCCAAACTATTTGTGATATATTAATCAAATTACATAAGTATAATAAATAATACTTATTTCTAGATTCCAATTTTAGTCATTGGTACGAAATTTGATCTGATCTCGGACTCTAATTTCGTAAAATCCAACATACACAGACGTTCCGCAACCATCGCAGAGGAATGTGGTGCCGACGAAATATTTTTGGTAAGGATCACTTACCTAAGAGACTTGCCAAACACATCATTAAAAAAAAAAAAAAAATTAAAATTTAATTGAGTATATTATGTAAAATTTTCATCAACATGTGACTAACGCTTCTGTTTTACATACTTTATTGTAATAGGATTGCCATCAGATAAGATCTTTGGCAGCAGGCTCCAGTTCATCCGTGAAGCTCAGTAGATTCTTCGATAAAGTTATCGAAAGACGTTACTATTCCTCCAAAGAAGCGATCAGTCCTGATAAACGAAGGCCGCCACTATATACTTCTTCGATCTATCCAAAGTTTTATCATAATGACTGAATGCCAAGAGTGCCACTGAGAATTCAAGAGATTTCAATCTTATTTCTTGTTATACAGAACAATTATTCTTGTGACATGAAGTGTTATAGGATTACGCGAATTAAGTATTGCAAGACTATCGATCTCGCATTTCTTATCCACATTCCTAATTTTCCCACGGAAGTATCTTGTCAGATGTGTTCAAAAGAAAGAGAAAGACAACTATCAATGCAGTGTAGATAAAAATATATTAGGCATTCAATATATTTTTCACATATCTATATTGTAGAGACGTCGCATTGTATACAATTGTTTTATAACATGAGCTATATAATCTATTCAATATCTTGTTATTAGCAAAATGTAATTATATAAAAATATATATACATTATATTTTTTTGTTAAATTAATATAGAATATCCTATAAAGATTTCTCAACAATGCGAAAAGCTTGTGGATTGAAATTGAAACAAGAGTTTTCGTCGATTGATCAATTATATTATTTGCAAATACAAAGAATTAATTGTGCATTTTTAAACGAGAAAATTAACGAATTTAAGTTTCGATTAATGAAATTATAAATATACCGACCTCCAACTTTTACGAAGCAAGATTACGTTTGAGCATAAATATGATTGATCAATTAATAAAATAAAAAATAAAATAAAAAATATAAAATAAAATAATCGTGGACTATCAATAGTGTATTCTTGGGCTGTGTCAAAGTCTCGCTACACAGTTAAGCGTTTAATGGACCAATTAGAAGAAAGAATTTTATAAACTGATCAATTAAAAAACGCTTCAAAGCGTTTGTAATATCGTTGACTATACCCTCTTTACTAGAGCAAATAAGTGCAGAACAATGCCGGTCATGCCGATGACATGGATTGGTCAAGTTGTCTGCCAACTGCTGGGATAGTTACTTCATGATATGAATTCACTTTCATGAAGGCGCGAATGAAATCTTTCAAAACGCACGTCCCTCGCCAGCGAATGAATGCAGACGGCAGAAGCGCGTGACAGGTGCGCGGGATAATTCGCACATATGGTTTAAACGGATAGTCCAGGACAGTCACGAAGCGGGGGAAAGCGGGTCTTTTCTCCTGTATTGAAACTTTGAGGATCAACTTGGAATTCTGTCTGAATGTCGCGCTCCGGTCAACTCTAGTCGTGAGTGTGAGATCAAGTGAAGTGACGTGCAACCTATCCGGCTCTCCACATATGTGTGTGTCCAATTTAGGTCAGGCACGTGTACGTATTTGCTTTTTTTTCAAGGTTATCGTATCTATACATTAATAGATATAAAACTAATATAACATCGATGAAAGGATTATTCTGTCAGATTTCTAAGACTATGGGCGACCTCGACCAAACTTCGATTAAGTTAATCGTTATTAATGGCTAACTTGTCAAGTAATACATATATTGTTTTGATAACACAATTATTCATTTTAATTATACGGAAAAGAAGATTAGGACGAATTATGTAATTGTTGGAGATTTAATTTTAAGTGATTCTGTCATTTGAATTAGTTGTAGTCAATTAATTGGAGTCAAAGTTACCTATACATCCAAGCTTGTAGCATATTATATATAGGTGTGATACTTGAGTAATGTGATGAATCATACATTTTAATAGGTGGCTTTTTTGCTTTCCAGGTAATATTCCTATAATTATGTCTTATCATTTTGTAAAAACATGTGCTAGTACGAATAGTCTCTGTCATGTGTTGACACATGTACGACCTATGATTTATATTAAGAAATTTAGTTATGCTCATGATATAAACATAAACTTGAATAGTGGACCAGTCAGTATTTTAAAGCAGAAAATAGCTAGGGGCGAACTGATGAACGATACGTACCAGACGAAAGTGGCACAGACCCTGCAGCAAATTTACCAAGAAGTTCAAGATTATAAGCCGCAACAATTAAATCTGTTGGAAAAATGGTTTTACAACAAGCGGAGGGATGCGCCGAAAGGGTTGTACATTTTCGGAGCAGTGGGTGGAGGTAAAACAATGTTGATGGACCTATTTTACAATTGTTGCCAGGTATCTCTCTGGTTGCTGTATGTATAAGCACTGTGCATGGAAAGCTAAATTTATACCTTAATCTGTTCAACATGACAACACATGTTTTTTTTGCACAATCTAAAAGCAGAGATAACAATTCTTGCGTAATTTGCATGACTTGTTGTTTATTATTAAAGTAACAGATAGATATTGTGCGATGATATCATAAGAGATTTTTTTAATTGAAACAAACAAGTTAAAGTAAAAGAAGAGTGAATAAAAATAAATCGTTCAGAATAAATAATCACTTGATTGACATCTACAATGTACATAGATTGCTAGTATCTCTTATATACTTTTCATATATTATATTAACTTTAAACTGAAATGAATTTATCATCATTTATTTCTCCCGACGATTGGAGATAAAGATGAAATTGTATTCGTTTTCAATTTGACAGACCATGTAAATTCAAACTATCTTTAGTAAAATAATGAATGCATATTTTTGTGTATTGATGTTTTAGATACTTTTAAATATTTTTATATATATTATTGATTCTTGATTTATACATTTAGATAATGATAGGTGCAAGTCATATCAGATATGAAGTTGGCATTAGCAGTCCATATGTATATAGTTGAAGATTAACACACATTATGGCTTTCCATGTATAGTACAGAACAAAAATGAAATTTTTTCATAGTACAATGTAACATACTTTCGAATAAAAATGTTTCAGATTGAAAATAAGAAAAGGGTCCACTTTCATTCTTTCATGCTGGATGTGCATAGTAGAGTGCACGAGATAAAAAAGACCATTGTACGAGATATGACTAGCACCAAGCTGCAACCTTTTGATCCAATACCTCCAGTCGCCTCTGGCATTGCAGAGGAAACTTGGCTGTTGTGCTTCGACGAATTTCAGGTTCAGATTCATATTATTTAAAAAAAAAAACAAATATTACTTGTAAAGTATAATTAAAAATAAAAGATCAATGAAAACAGATGCGTTGCAGGTAACGGATATCGCAGATGCGATGATATTGAAACGGCTGTTCACGGAGCTGTTCGATAATGGCGTAATAGTGGTCGCGACTAGTAACAGATCGCCAGATGATCTGTATAAGAATGGACTGCAAAGAGGAAATTTTGTACCATTTATAAAAGTGCTGAAAGATCACTGCCTCGTTAGTAATTTGGACTCTGGGATAGATTACAGATTAAAATCGGGATCCGGAAATAAGAAGATTTATTTCATGTATGTAGAAATTAATGTGTACAATTTTTGTGATAATTGTCTATATTGTCGCCGTCTAACAAGCCGTTTAATTATACAAGAAAAGGTAAAGATGTCACGAACGATGTGGATAAAGTTTTCAAATACCTGTGTTCCATGGAGAACGACGTGATACGACCGCGCACGATTTCCATAAGAGGACGCAATGTCACTTTTCGAAAAACCTGCGGGCAGGTGTTGGACTCCACTTTCGAGGAATTGTGCGACAGGGTGAGAGGTCTTCTGTTTTGTGTAGTATTTGTATTCTATCTGTTGATTATGAACTATATGTAATATAAATATTGATCTCCATGTAGCCTCTCGGAGCAAGCGATTATTTGCAGTTGAGTCAAATTTTTCATACAGTCATAATAAGGGACATGCCTCAATTGAACCTACGACTTAAATCTCAAGCTAGGCGATTTATTACTCTTATCGATACATTGTACGATAATAAGGTAAGAATTATGCGGCTTTAATTACAAATTGTAATATTTGCGATTTGGGACATTATATAATAAGTACAGAATAAGAGGATCAATTATATAATAAGTACAGAGAATTTTGATAAAAGAAAAGAGATAAAACTTTGGCTAATGCAAATAGGATGAAAATTTTTTCTGAATTTTCATATAAATTGCAACTTCAGAAATATTAAGAAAGCTTACATTTTTTTCTTAGAATTTTTCAAATATGTGAGTTTTAAAAAATTTAAAGATTTCTCATTCTAAAATTTTTGAAAAATACTTTTCTTAGATTTTATAAAATTTTATAGAAAAATTATAGAACAATTTTAGAAATTTAGAATATTTCAAAATTCATGTATATGCAGAATTCTAAAAAAATTTGTAAAAAAGTCTTTAATTTGTATATAAAAAATCTGAAAAATTTTCTAAAAAGTTATTCGGAAAATATTTTTTATCAGGGCTAATATGTGACTAACGAAAGTTTATTAAATTGCAGGTACGAGTAGTTATGTCAGCGGCTGTACCACACACACAGTTATTTTTATCGGAAAACGAGTCCGAATATACCGATGAGAAAAGAATGCTGATGGATGATTTGAAGATTACGCATGGCTCGGTAGACGTTGATTTCATAATGAGGCAAAAGTATGAAAAATTATTATATTTTTTATTATTATTATGTTAATTTTGTTTTCAGGAGGATCATAAGGCAAACATCTTTACTGGAGAAGAGGAAATCTTTGCGTTTGATCGTACCGTGTCACGTCTGGCTGAGATGCAGACCTCACAGTATTGGGAGCAGTGGGAACACCACAGATAATGATAATGTTAAAACTAGTACAAATAGATTTGTGTAGCTCCGTATGAATTTCCACTCACTTAAAACTAAAGATTGTTAATGATTGTAATTTTTATAAAACGATCTCTTGCGAGTAGTTATTTAAGTTTTCATCAGGTGTGCGTTTTACGCTTGAAGCGTTAATTTTCGCGCTTTCTCAGTATTTTACCTCGTAAATTATTTTATTGGGAACGCAAGTTCCTTGAAGATTACCTCTAACATTAATTATTTATATGATTTATGTGCAAAAAATCTTACTGATTGCCAAAAAAATTGCCCTAATGCAAATATGTTTGTATTTGTGTGTATATTATATATATATATATATATAAATCTCAATTATATGAAATTTTGCACTGATAATTTGTTGATTATTCGTTTCTTTGCTACATCACAATAATATCAAGACCAGATGTCATATTTTTGCAGATTTGATTATCGACTATCGGTCATATTGGTATTTTAATTATCTACGAATTCAGTAAGGTGAAATATTAATTGAAGCGAAAGTTATTGAGGAAAGAGAGTATCCCAATTCCTAACAGACATTGGTGACACTGATGCAAAGATTGTATTGTTTTTTTTTAGGAGAATTTGCTGAATGTTGTTAGTATTGTATAAGTAGGAAAGAGTTAGGACAAGTATTTGCCTGCCTTTCTCTGCCAGGTTGCAGTTTTCTATAATTTAGTATAGAGAAAGCGTGTTCCAGTATATTAGAGCTCACTGTCTATCGATGAGGTAGATTGTATGAATGTGTGTGCCCATGTATGTGTATATGTGTATAACTCTAAAAGTTTATGTATTTCTTCCAACAGTTACTGATTCGCAATATAAAAACACAAAATAAACTTTTGAAAATAAATAAATACAAGAAATATGCTTGAAACGATTGTTATCTCTAGTCCTAAATGCGAAAAAATTTGTGTATGTCCACGTGTTATGAGTGCCTATAGTTCTATATCTATTGTATACTTCTTGTGTATCGTGCTTGTCATGCTTATCACTTGTAGCAGTGGAGAATACGTAATTGCACATCTTATTTCAAACGAAAACACAAATCAACATTGGCTATATCAGACTAAGAAAGGTCTAGGACCTGGGATAGCCGATAAATCGAAGAAAAGAAAACGGATCAACAGGGACATTGGATGTGTACGATAATCACAGTCTGCCAGTTTAATATAGTTTTCATATAAGTTTATCCAAGTTTTCTTCCGAAATCATGGATTATCGTTTCCCAGAGTTCAATTCGAAAGATGCAATTCAAAGTAATTAATTAATTATATTAATAATTCTCTGATTTTATATTATTTCATGCAAGCATCTCTATTATTTTTTTGTACAACATATATATAAAGTTAATTGTATATTATATAAATATTAATATATATTTCAATTTTATTTTTTAGCCTGGTTAACAAGCTTGGAGGCGTATATTAATGAACCAGCAGTAAATAAATGTGTTCGACAAATATCTTATTTAGCAACCACAATAACAGAGGATAATAAAATTGCTTGGTTACTAAAGGCAATAAGTTTCCTTGATTTAACTACTTTGAATAACGACGATACAAGTAGCACCGTAGAACAATTGTGTGAAAATGTAAATTGGAACATGGAATTATTATTCTTTACTTTAATGTATATAATATCTATAATTGATTAATTAATATATAATCGATTAATTAATATTACAGGCTGCAAATCCTATAAAGGAGCTTCCATTTCAATGGAATAAACCACTTCATACTGCTGCTGTTTGTGTTTATCCATCCAAAATAAAAGACGCAATAACTACTTTAAAGAGATTGAAGAAAATGAATGTAATTAAGGTTGCTAGTGGTAAGAAATGAAACATTTCTTTTGACCTGATATGAATGTAACAATATTATCTAATATATTTTTTGCATTAGTGGCAGCAGGATTTCCTTCTGGACTATTTCCATTGGAGACTCGATTGCAGGAAGTTCGTTGTGCAATAGAGTATGGAGCACAAGAAATAGATGTTGTGATCGATCGATCGTTAGTTTTAAATCATCAATGGATGATGCTATTTCAAGAGTTGATATCTATTCGTGCACTTTGTCCCAAAAATAACGAAAGGACAGTACGTTTAAAAGTTATAATATCATCAGGAGAATTGTTCAATTTGAAAGATGTATATAAGACATCTATGGTAGCTCTATTTGCTGGCGCTGATTTCATCAAAACATCTACAGGGAAAGATTCAGTTAATGCGACTTTGCAAGCGGGAATTGTTATGTGTAGAGCGATAAAAGAGTTTGAAAGACTAGCCGGAATAAAGGTATAACAATTTAATTATTTGTGATAATCGAGATCTATATAATATAGCTTTAATTTATTTTCACAGACTGGCTTTAAACCTGCCGGAGGAATTAAGACTGCGCAAGACGCTTTAGAATGGATGGTCTTGATTAAGGAAGAATTAGGGAATTCTTGGTTGACAAGCAATCGTTTCAGAATCGGTGCATCAAGTTTATTGCAAAATATTAGTACTGAAATTATCAAAACATATGAAAACAAGCCAATTCAACGACCACTGGAAGATAGTTCTGAAAACCAGACATCTGAAAGAGAAAATAAAGCTGATGAAGACAATAAAGTTGAAGGAGATAATAAAGATAAAGAAGATGCAGGAGATAAAGATAAAGGAAAAAATAAAGTTGAAAATAAAGAGACTTAATTAATTGGGTTTAGATAGTGATAAAATATTTTTATATCGTTTTTATATATTCGTAATTTCGATCATATATTTGAAAATAATTTGTATGTATTAATAAATGTGAATAAATTTTATTTTCATGATGCTTCAAGAGTTAACTGATTAAAAAATTCATCCGAAGCGCTAAAATCAACACTCTCTCTCTTTCCCTCTCTCTCTCTCCCTCTCTCTCTCTGCATGCGCGCGCGCGCGTGTGTGTGTGTGTGTGTGTGTGTGTGTACACCAGAAAAAACATGTTTTAAACAGTTTAAAACATGCTTAATTGATGTTTTTAATATGTTTTAAATGTTTTTTTTATAGTTAAAGCATATTTGAAGCATTAAAAATATATTTAAAAAAAACAATACGTTTTATTCTTAAAAAAAACATCTCAATCTTTATCCTGATGTACACACGCATACGTACACAATGAGATGAGAGGATCGCATTCTTCTGGGGAATTATCAAGATCGATGTACATTTCTCTCAGTTTCGTTTGAATTGTAAGGGAGAGTCAAATGATCTTTATCACAATCCCTTATCTTTCAGACTACGTCATGTGTGAAACATATAAGTAATACAGAATACGTCAGAATGAGTGATATCACGACGCCCATGCGTCTAAATATATCAATCCGTAAATAGATCCTATATAATTGACATACTTGGTACACATAATGTTGTGAACATGTAAATATACAAGTGTCTCGTTAAAATCATCTCAATTTCATTTTCTCTAGCTGATATAACACATGATCAAGATATGAAAATCACACAGATAATCATAAAGTGTTCAAATTTGGGAGAATTTATTAGGAATTGAATACTTGAATGTTCATGTATTATCATTATAAGAAATATTTTACATCAAAACGTATCAAAATGCAAAATATAACTAATTTATGCGTATAAAATGCACAAAAAACGAGAAAAATCATAGTGCAGCGAATACAATTTCTCTACACTTAAACGTTTCTTAAAAATTAAGCATTTTTGAAAAACAGTGGCTTAATTTCCCATCGTTAAAAGTTTTACTTTTCAGAGTATGATTCATTTTAAAAGTTTAGAAAGTTAGTTTTTTTTTTTTCAAAGAAATATTCAATTTAAATATACACAATAATTCGCAAATAGAAATTCAATTTATTCATCTAAAGTTTCAATTATTGAAGAAACTTTCATAATAAATCTACAAATATTCAAATTCCCTACAAAATATTCCGATATTACATAGTCATATTTTTATTATTTAAGATTTATATTTTTCTTATCTTTCTCAAGATATATATGTGAAGTTCATTCTTGAATATAAAGAATTTTTTTGCAATACAATTGAGAATAGAAGATATTTCGATTACATATAAATTCTTTCTCTTTCGAGAGCATTATTCTATTTAGAATTCCAGCAAACAAGAATGGATTGAAATGAATTGAAATGGATTCAAATTTTCAGAAAATATTCACGAATGTTAAAATGAATGCTTTTCAATTCTGATTTTTATTCATTTATAGGAATTGCATGGAACATATTTCTATGCCTTTCAATCTAAAAATAATATTAGCTTTTTCTGTGCACATAAACACAATTGTGAATACTATTCAATTCAAAACTTTGAATTGAATAAGAAATGCAGTTTTTCAATCCAATTACATCCAATTAAATCCAAAAAAAAGTATTCGCTATTTAAAATACGCATTCAGATAGAAAAAAATCTATTTTAATCCATTCTCGTTTGCTGGGATCCATTCGGATCTGCAGATTCGTCCGGACGGAGGCGTAATTCTCCACCGGAAATCGAGGCTCAAATCCAATATAGATCGATCAGTAAATAGACCTCGAGCCGGCGCGAGATCGTGTGGCCGGCGTCTTCGGGTGCTCATGCCTCTCGTGTAGTATTTACAGCTTGCAAGCTCCGGTGCGTCTTGCCCTCTGGCAAAGCTTGTCGTGACACCGTTTCAGCCGCATTGCGCCGGGTAACGGCCCGTCCTTCCGTCACCGTCGGCTTTATTCCGTACTAGTCGCACGGCTCGCCCGGCTCCAGCGGTCGTTTCGCGCGTCTCGGCCGTGTCATGCAGCGAATGCGGTGAGTCCCCCAGATCGCGCGTACATTCTCGTCCACGCGGCACGCGTTGCATCCGATCGAGTAGCCCTCCCCCGACTCGCCTTGGATAACTTGTACTAGATAAGCTCGGCTCGCCGCTTCTCGGCAAGTAATATACACGACATCAAGCGGGATATATCACACCATCGATATACGGGACCACCTCGTCATACACTCTATATTCGGATACCGTCGCTTCCGCTTCGGCATAGCGCGGATTTGCGAGTCGGCGCGGTGAGGCGCGCACGGGAGTAAAACGGAAGGAGAAATTGCGATGTTGATCCGTCGGGATTATGCTACTTATTACGAGTTTGCAAGAAAGATTTAAACTACTCTCTGAAACTTTTAGAGTGAATCTTACTCTGAAGAGCGAAAGCTAACTCTTCAAGATTGAAAATTGAGTTACTCTTTTTCAACACTAATTCAATTTTTATTTTTTAGAATAAGAGTCTATTAAAAAAATTTAGAAAGTATATAATTCGTATATAAAAAGTTAAATTGTAGCTGCAAATGAATTGAAAGTCGAATACTTCCGGCGAATCGTGTATGTATAACAAAAATTGTGAGTTACTCGATGAAGGAATTCGATTTTTCCGCTGTGAACTCTAAATTTTTTTAGAATGGAATCTACTGACTCTAAAGATCGAAAATTGAGTCAGTCTTGAAAAAGAGTGACTTAATTTTCAATCCTTAGGAATAAGATTTCATTCTACAGAGATTTACTTTAAAAATTTTAAAAGATGCTTGTATTATTGCAGATAAATCGAAATTTGAATCGAGATCACAATTTCGATTATATATATATATATTGCGCAAAATTCCAGCACTTGTTAGATCTATTATCGTATTTCACTTGATATTTTGAATTTATAAAGAAGAAACATTGTGCAAATTAAATTTTAATTTTATTTCAGTCATATTGACTTAGTAATTATAACAAAATTAAAAAGATATATCATCATTTGATGATATTTGATTTCGTCATACATGTTGTTCACTTGCCAATTAAAACCTATTTGCCGGCTTGAATTCTATTTAAGAGTTATGATTATATTTTTAGACATATCTTACCTTGGCACAACACGGAATCGTTGACCCTTCTTTAAATGACGCATATTTTTATCACTCATCAGGATATACATATAGGATTATTTGCTTCCTCGGTCGCATTCGTAAACAACATTAAAATAGCACTGGAATTTGCAAAAAACATGTATCCGACTTTCGTGCTGTATCATTATTACGTAACATTTAGGATTCTGTAAAAAGAAAGTGTTGTATTATATAAATATATATACATATATATAT